AGGAACTGTTATAGGCTGGGATGGGTGGTAGGAAAGAAGAAAGGGAGCAGGGAAAGTCTCTTCTCTCTAAATAATTCCAGTTTCCAAATAATTCCAGCATCTTTTCTTGCTGGCCATAACTTTCCTCAGCAGAGAGGAATGTGTGACTTTGGGATTTCATTGTAGTCTCTGCTGGTCTGAAAAGCAACTGTTTAAATTTAAATTTGCAAATTTAAATTTGCTGCCTCTTGGCTGTTAAAAGAATAAGAATCAGAGTACTTGAGCTTTCTATCTACACTGTGGGGTGGGGGAAGAGGAAATATTACTTTACATTTGAATAGCTAATTTTGAAACCATCAGAGTTGGTTGACTTCTGTAGAAATTGATTAAGTAGACTTGCATATTCAGGCAGGAAAAGGCACCCGTTTAACTGTCATGAATGGGCAAGATAAATCCTGCCTTTGCTATCACTTTCTGTGTGTGGGTGTGCGCTCACAACTATGGATTTGCCAATGTTTACTGTTTACTGGAGGACTTGTATCGAGGGGCTGCTGACAACTTTCTTTGCAGGGTGGATTTGATGTAAATCAAATTAAGTTAAATCATGATTCAAATCACTGTTTAGCAGGGTGGATTTGCTTTAAATCATGATTAAAATGATTTAATCATTGTTTTCTACAAAAAATGCATTCTTGTTTGACATCCTTTATTCATTTAACTTTTTGAAACTTTGCACTTTTAGAGAAAGGTAAGGAAGGGCTTGACTGTGTGTACACAAATTTGTAGAGACACAATATGACTGATGGGTGTTAGGACAATAGGACTGATGGATCAAGTCTGTTATTGCTCATCTCCATATACTGCTGTTAGCAAGGATGTTATCTCTGGAGACACAAATCCACAGTTTGAGAACTGAAGCTAAGCATCACAGAGATGCTTAATGGGATCTTCTAAACTGAGCACTGAGTCCCATTGTGTAGAGTGGTTTTCTTTAATCTTTACTAATCTGTAAAGGAGCCTCTGGGAACCCCATAAGATTGGGCCCCGATATAGTTCATAGCCTGTTGTGACCTTTTTATAAAACTTTTCTAAGAAGGTTACATGAATATATTGTCTCAAATAGTATATAATTAGAGGTTATAATCCTTATTCCATGATGATATCTTTGAGATTTAACAAAACTTAAAACTATCTTTATATAGGTTTATTCTTTTAAAAAGCATCTTAAATAAAAAATATGATTAAATAAAAAAATGTGATTTAAATAAAAAAACAATTTATCTGATTTTTTTTTTTAAATCATTGATTTCTATCCACCCTGTTTCTTTGCCATCAAGCAAACTTTTTATATCAGACTTGCCTTATCATGTTAGATAGTGTGGATACCTACACTGAAAGCAGTAGAGGCTCAAAAGCTTCCTCTTCACTTTATTTTTATATTACAGCTGGTCCTGTGGTGGTTTGCCTACATTTTGGGAGCCATTAATCAAAGCCCTAACATGTGCATCTTGAGAGTTCCTGAATTTTCAATGCATTCTGCATTTTGAACTGGGAAATCTTTTTTGTTTCACCTTTGGAAGTTGGAAATACTATTTTTTTTTTTTTTTTATTTTTCCTTTTCCTGTAACAGTTGTTATAAATACTTCTGAGATTCAACCTTAAAAAATTCCCCTTCAGCTCTGAAGTTCCCTTTGCAGGTTACTGTAGCAGATCAGTGCTGCTAGTCTTTGCTGAAGGTGATGAAGCAGAGCAAATGGGCAGTCCTATGTCATAAAATGTATTTTCTTATTTTGTCTGTTATTCTCCAGTCAACTCTCTCTTTAGTACAGGAATAGCTTTGAGATTAATGGGCTATATGTCCCTTTTACCTCCCAAATTTGTGTGTGTTTTTTCTTTTTAATAAATGATTGTATGATTGGGGAAGGAGAAAACCCTCAGTCTCAAGTGGCAGCAGGGTGTATAAAATTCCAGATTTGCAGCTGACTGACTCTGCAACAAAATACAGTAGTGCCAGTTTTATTTATGGGTCTGGGATGCGTGAGATATTGGCCCAAATAATGGAATTGGCAAAGCATAGAGCCACAACTCTAAGTCAAGTTTATGTAGTTAATATCAAGTCTGCCAACTTCGTGTGTCCCTTAACGATTAAAGAAATAAGTGTTGGAAAAATCCATTTCAGATATACAAACTATTAGATAACTCTTTTTTAGACTTGATGATGGATTGTGGTTGGGTGACTGAGATTGAGTCTTTAAATAAAGCTGTACCATTAACTTCTCAGTTCCGATGAACTAAGTTGTATAACAAGTAGTGCATGAAACACTGCCTTTTTTTAAATAAAAAAAATGCAATTTATACTGAACTTCTACTACAACCTAAAGTGTTCCCTGAATAACTTTTCCAGACTTCAGCATCTGAATTGGTTTATTGGGAACTGCCAGCTGGATGTTTTAAATATGTAGTTAATCATTTTATAATCTCATAGTGTCTTTTCATTCAAAAGGATTCCAAGTGTTTTCCTAAGCTCCTCTTTATACATGGGAATTATTTCAATTTAAGTGTAGCCACATCTGCATTTGAGTGTGGCAACACTATGTACACATAGTAGCAACTGTATATATTATAGCATATCGCATCTACTATAAAATAGAAAAGCACAGGAAGTGAACTATAATACCATATTCAGTGGCAACTGTGTGGAGATTTGGGGTAGGTTAGGGGTGGGCAGTTACCTTGGCTAGAGGGCCATTTTAGGAATTTGGGTGAGCTGTTGTAGAGGGGGAGGGCTATTAGGCCCTAGGCCTGCCCACCCTGCACCCACCACAGGGGGCGCTGGATGGAGCGGATGGGTGGGGTCTCCGTGGAGACTGCCTGGGACTCCCATGTGCAGGGTGCATGCAGCTGGGTGGATGGCATAGGGCCACAGGCAGGGGGGAGCAGTGTCTGGGAGCAGGACAAGAAGGGACTGGGGCTGGGATCGTGGGGTAGTAGGTTGTGCCTGGGCTGGGCAAGGCCCTGGGACCCACCACAAGCCAGATAAAATCCCTTGGTTGGCTGGATCTGGCCCCTGGGCTGTATTTTGCTGAGCCCGGGGAAAGGAAATCAACCAAATTTAGCATTTGATGAGGGCCCCAAAGATGACAACGTATTGGTTGTAAAAATGCAAAGCATCCTAACTGTCACAATTGTTGACTTTGATTTTATTGTCTTGAGCACTGTAATGATCATTAATTTTCTCTTTGATTTGTATTTAGTCAATAAAAAAGAACAGTTTTCATTGCTCCTTCCTGCAAAATATGTGTTTTCTTTGAGTACCCATGCTTAAGGTCAAACATGATACTGCCTAGCTTGCAAGATCTGATTTAGGTCACCATTGAGGTTCCCAGGTTACACTGAAACAAGTAAAGACTTAATCCAGTGTTGCTTCTGCCATATTAACACCAGCCCACCCCCATTGCAAATTATAGGCTCCTTTTGCTGAAAACCTGATATTTGTTAGGAAAGGCAAAACTCTTCCTTGGTATTTAGAATGTTTTGAACTTTGACTTTCATCTGACTCAGATCTCATTGTGTGTTATCAGAAATGCCATGAAATATTTTACTGTGGAGCTCTTAACTACTTATTGTTAAAAATAGGCATCTAACCATGAAGCTTGTTTTGAAAAAATTGTTTTGTTTCTCTTGCAGATTCGAGAGACTGGTGAAAGACCTAGTAATGAGGAGATCTTACGGTTCTCTAAACTGTTTGAAGATGAGCTAACGCTGGACAATCTTACTAGGCCTCAGCTGGTCGCTCTCTGTAAACTCTTAGAACTTCAGTCAATTGGGACAAATAATTTTCTGCGCTTCCAGTTGACGATGAAGTTGAGAACCATAAAAGCTGATGACAAAGTAAGTCGTGTTAAACCTGGTGTGAAAAAATGCTTAGTGTTATCACTACTGTAATATGCCAGTGCTTTCTTTATGGCCATCTACTTATATTGTAAATTAAAATAAAAAATTACAGTAATTCAGCCAGAAGTCTCAAGGCTTAAAAGAGCACTTTAAATTTGGGGGAATAAACGCTGCCCCTTCTATTAAAAACAATGCAATGCATTCACTTAGACTTTTATTTTTATCCTCATTTTAAACTTTCTCAGATCGCATATCCCAAATATTATAGTTATGAAAACTTGATTGTGCAGTTTGGAACTTTATGGTCATTCTTGAAAGCTGCAAGATATTGACCAACTCTTGTTTCAAGCACCAAGACTATTTGCTATTATCACAGCAGCCCCTAGTGGTCACTTTAAAAAAATCTAAATATTATGGCTATATACTACAGTATCTAGCATTCTGCTAACTCTTAATTTGTTTGCTACATACAAATGTTTGTTTGTTTGACTTGTGTAGCTAATAGCTGAGGAAGGAGTTGATATCCTGACTGTTAAAGAACTGCAGGCAGCATGTCGAGCAAGAGGTATGAGAGCTCTTGGTGTAACAGAAGACCGTCTAAGGGAACAGCTTAAACAGGTATGTGACCTGCATGACCTAAGAAAGGTTGCTAGACGGAGTCAGGAGATCTGGGCTCTGGTACTAACTTTCACTGTTACCTTGAGCTAGTCATTTCACCTCTGCTTCTTTTTGCTCCGGCCTTTGTTTTGTCCACTCTAGTTCCTTGCTCAAATAGCTGATGTAGGGATTTTACGGAGGGGAGGGGAGAGCGTTTATATGGTGCCAACCACAAACAGACTTGAATCTTTATAGTCACTTGCAGAAGTACTTGCTGCATTGAACTTTTTAGACGTAAAATACATCTAGAATAAGTTTCTCAGCAGTGTTCTTAATTTTTTTAGAAACAAGAATATTTGCAGGGCCTGCATTGCCTATGAGCTTGGCTGCTTCTAAAATCAGTACTTGCACATTTGAATGCCTATTAAGCTTACTACCCAGCCTCAATTTCCTGATTTATTCCTAAAGTTGGTGAATATTGCTGCATAGTGCTGCTTTGTACTGAGTGGCAGTTGTTTAGTTCTGAACCATTAGGAAAAGAGGGATTGTCTTTCAGTTGGGTTTAAATCTTTGCTAGGGGTGCCCTGGTAACTATTTTTTGGCCAATACTGATGGCTGATTACTAACCAGCCAGATTGGCCCATATTGATCCAATAGCCAATATGCAGCTTGGCAGCTTGGAGAGCAGCATCTGGTCAGTAAGTTTGTTGGGGGGAGGAGCAGGGACGGTGATTGTGAGGCCCCCATGGTGAGGGATGGAGTAGGGCAGGTGCTGTGCAGCCAGGGCAGGGCACAGGATGGAACCACAGGTGGCTTATCTGGGGGGTGGCTTCTGCCAATGCGTGTACTCTGGGGGTGTGTGCCCCCTGGATTTGTGTGGGGGACAGGGATGGGCTGCCTGCTGCAGCCTCTTCCGGGCGCGGGGGCTGAGCTGGGGCTGTACTCGAGGTGGGGGGCACTGGGAGACTGGAGGGGGGGCGGGGGCTGCAGCCACCTTGAAATTCCCTATAGCCCCCTTCCAGCGCTGCCATCACCCACCCTGAGCGCAGACCTGGCCCAGCTCCCACCTGCCCCCCCACTGGGAAGAGGCCGTCACAGTCCCTGGCCCTGAGCCCACAGCGGACAGCCTGCCCTCGCCCCACACACAGATCTGGGGGGGCACATGCCCCCATGCCTCCCTTGGGGGTGCACGCAGAGGCGGGAGCCACCTCTGCTCCCTCCCCATGCTGTCCAGACAAACCATCTACAGCTCCGTCCGAAGTCCCACCTCAGCAGGGCAGCACCTGCCCCAGCCCCACTACTTCCCTCACCATAGATTCATAGATGTTAGGGTTGGAAGGGACCTCAATAGATCATCGAGTCTGACCCCCTGCATAGGCAGGAAAGAGGGCTGGGGCTA